ACCGTTTTAATAACAATTTCAGTGAGCTGTAACTTTAATTATGTTCTGTTCTAATAATTTTTATGATATCAACGTCAATTCAGCAAGTTACACGTGTACGCTTCTTGTTTTTTCTATCTTATTATGTAATATTTTTTAAATATTTTATTTCTCTTAAAATTTTCATCTTTTATAATAAAACGATGACTGACTAATTTATTTATAGAGTTATGATAAGATTTGTATAAATTCAGTTAAATTAAGTATTTTATTAATTTACATTGGAAATACTTTTATAATATAAGATAGCTAGACGTTACTATTGATTTTTCATTAGAATATGTCTGTGCATATATATACATTAATATTTCTACGAATATCATATTTCTTACCACATCTAATCGATCTTTGCTTCGCAGTGGTGAATTTGGAAGAACCTGTTTGTTCCATGCTCCGTGATAATCATAGGCCATCACATGAATGTAATCAAGATATTTAGAAATTTTGGGAATATCGTATGCCATATCGATAGTAGAACTGATGGCACTTATGGCTGCGGTTAACAAAAAGCGATGTTCTTTAAAGGCATCCTTCAATTCCTATTGCATGATAAATAATGGATTTATTTTTTATGTTAACATACAAATAATAAAATATAATGTTTCTACCTGCACGAGGCTAACAAAATTCTGTTTATCATGCTGAGCACCTCCTCGACTTCCAGGGAATTCCCAATCAAGATCCAATCCGTCAAATTTGTACATTCTGTTGGGAAAATTTAATTTAAAAAACAAAATCATAAAATCTAACAGTATAATTGATGACAATACAATACAGATAAAATCAATCAAAATGTAGATCAAAATTCAATTTTAATTATCGGTGGATATTATAATGTTTAACTAAATCATAGATTGTAACCATCGCATATAACAAACTTTTTTCTGATCAGTAAAAAAGGTTTTACTTAAAGAATTGACTTTCTATAATGAAAAGATAACACATAGAAGAAAGATTAAGATAAATACATCACAGCGAACACACTTGAGAAACTCAACAGTACTAGCGATGAAAATCCTCCTACGATCCGGTGAAGAAGCCATTAGTGAATAATTTGTGCTGCCTTCGTTCCATCCACCAATACCGAGCGATACTTTTAAACCTTGATTGCGTAGCGTTGTCATTTTTCTGTAGTTACCTATTCCTATATTCATCCAGATATTTCCAAATTATATTTATAAAACTTTAATTTCAGTTTAATATTAATAAAATTCGAATTATCGAATGTATTAAATCAGTTATTAATAACTTTTTTGTGGATGGGAGACCCTATTTGAAATCACTCTTTTTTATTTTACAATATGCTTGGTTCAATTTTTATGAAACTGATCTATGCACTCACTAGAGGGTAATTACTTATAAGATAATTTAATTACGTTTTTATTTGAATATGAGGTCAAAAATAAAAAATTCAAAATGATGGATCCATTAAAGGCGGAGAGAATTAAAAATAATAATTTGATTATTATAAAATACGATTTCAGGGAGTTTTTAATTGTAAAGTAACAACAAAATTTTCAGTTTCGCTTAATTTGTAGCTTATCTATACTATAACGCAAACAATTAATAAAGTACATGTACTATATATATATTAATGGATAATTAGTAGACATAATATAATTATGTTGGAAAAAGTGGTACAAAATTTTAATTACTAAACTTTTAATAATATGTACACTTCTATAAATAAATTTGTTTATAAAAATTTAATAATGAATGTATTTAGAATCGTACATATTATTAAAAGCTGAATATTTGAAATATTTTAAAGTGATAAATCAAACAATTGATTTATATTCACTAATTGTTATTACTTACTTTACTAATTTCTAAAATATTTTATCACTTTGTTCAACAATTGGTTTATGTTTACTAATTTCTAAAGTGACTTCTAAACTCTGATTATGAGCTCTGTAACACTAGATCCTCTTTAATAAATTATTAAAGATTACTTTTTGTTTGAAATTCGACGTCTTTAGGCTATAAATTAAATAATATCAAGAATCTTCTAAAATTGAATTTCATGATACTCAGATTTTTTTGAAATTTAAATTTTAGAATTCTGAGAACACAAAATCAAATTCACCGACTCCGCAAACTCTTAGAAAACAAGGTTCCCTTTAAGTTTCTTTGTTAGAAAGCTCCTGTCATCAAAGAATTAATTAACAACTTTTATGGACAATTTAATGAATTATGTATTAATTGTCCCTTTCCTACTCCATTTCCTTTGGCTAACATTCAATCTTTATTACAACTCGCTTAATTTCTTTAATTATTTTGAAAAGTTTAGTTCTTAAATAGTTAACTTTCTACGATAATTCATAATTATTGTAGATTTGATATAAGTTTGATATCACATTAAGATCGTTATTACCATCTTTTTCCATATCTGCCCAAGGATCGAGACTTCTTATCGTCCAGTCCGAAGTATTTAAACCAGCAAATGCATAAATTAAGTGGGTACAGTGTTCCGAGCGAAGATTTTCTAAGGAGAATGCTCCATTTCCTTGCCTATAGGCAGCCCAAGATGCGACGTAGCAAACGACGACCTTATCATGTTTCGGTCTTATGAGACCTGTAACATAATATTGACATTAGTATAATATAATGTAATATATTGACATCATTATAATTAAATTCAACAGATCAGTTTTACAAATGACATTACTTCGAGATCCTTATTTTTCGAAAAAAAAAAAATTTAATTTATTAATACAAATATTAATATAATTATTTTAAAGCATGAGTGTATTCATTTAGAACAGAATTAATCTTCAATGAACGTAATTATTATTGTTGCAGCTAAATACAAAGTTACAACTTTTGTAAGATTGCCTTTTATACGATAATCAATACGTTATATCAATAAGTATAATATGTAAATCGCGCGAAAATTATATATCCGAACCGCACATTTAGGAAACTAAATAGATTCTTAATAAAGAAAAATCGATACTAAATTGATAAAAAAAACTCGTAGATAAAGCAATAATGGAATCTATTTTCGCGACACTCTGTATATACGTACATCGCGAGCGAAAATGTCGCGTCCTCATTGTGCGGCGTGCCGGCTTTTACTTTCGCTTGTTAATATGTAAACGCTGGTATTATTCATACACGCTAACCGAGCATAATATTACATGACATTGTTATTGCACAAGTATTAATCATAATATACGTATTAATCATAAATAGATAGGCTTAGTAAGAAGCGAACTCACCGTGAACGTCGTACGTCCCAAAAAATAAGATTGTAAGTAGAAGTGCCACGTCACTGAAGGACATCGTAGCGCGCTAAACTTCTTCGATGCGTTATATTTAATGCGTCGGATAATAATCTGGAACGTATCTCAAATTAAAAAATCATTTATAATATCGGACTTCAAGTATAGTAAAACGTCGAATCTTATGTTATCGCTGACTTTTGTTTCAGATTTAGCACGTTTTCCTATATCATGACTTTAATTCACTGCGTTACTTGATAAGATAGGATACGCGATAATCGATAGAAGTTATACAAGGAATAAATTCTTAACGTATAAGCAATGCTTATAATCAGATCTATTTTTTATATCACTCGCGATAACGGTGATAGCGAAAGTTTCATATTCTTTCTGTATTTATTGTAGATAGACACTAAATGGCGTTAATTGTTTTATAACAAATGGTGTTAATTAATCATCCCGATTAATCATCGGCGATTACGCGCAGTTAATACAGTATACCGATTCGTTTGACTGCAGTCTGTAGACTGTTGGGTCCCAGATATGCGCGCGTCAACCAGGCCCAGATCACTTTCACTCGTAACTGTTCATTCTCGAGAGACGAGGAGAACGACCGCGAGAAGGATACACTTAGAACCTGTTGTATTATTGCCGGAAATTTGCTTTGTCCTTCGTGCGGATTCGATTTTCTGATATAAATAACATAACATTATCTGCGCATTACTTTATGCGTGAGCCATGCATGTGCTTTATAAATAGAACAACGTACAGTCAGTACATTGCCTAAAAAAGGAAAAAGAGGAAGGCAGAGAGAAAAAAGCAGAAGAAGGAGAAGGAGAAGGAAGGAGAGAAAGACGAGAAGTGAAGAAAAAAAAAATAAAAGAACACAAGATTTAAAATAAAGAGGAAATGGGAATGCAAGAAATCGAGCGAAAGGAAATAGGAAAAAGAAAAGGGAAATTGAAAGATCAGAAGAAGGATCAGAAGAATGAGGGACGACGGGAATATAGAAAGAGAGTAACTTGAAAATGTAGAACGATGGCGCTCATTGTTGTATTTTGAGATGCGTATATCCTCCCATTGCATTAAGACAACATATCAAAAAGAGTATAGGAAATGGAAGTAGAATGTTTCTTTTTATTAATAGCATATTAAACTGATATTAATAAAATAAAACATAAAAGCTCCCTTTTTATTCCATTAAATAATAGATTTTAAAATAATGGATTCTATAAAAAATAATAGATTCTAAAAAAATTTTGTAAGATGGCAAGAAATAATTTTTCAAAGTTCCTTTTGAAGTTTCCTTTTGATATAGTAGAAATTTTTAATTGGTCTTAATAATGTGAACAAAATCTTTCTCTTTGCGAAATAATAAAATCTGAAAAAAATATTTTTCTTTTCGATAAAGTGGCAAGAAACAATTTTTTAAAGTAACTCCTTTTATTGATGATAGGAATTTTAAACTTAATAATATGAACAAAATTCTTCTTTTTTTTCTTAAATAATACATTTTAAACAGACATTTTTTTAAATGACAAGAAAAATAATTTTCTAAAATCTGCAACTAAAAATTAACCACTCTTTGTATACAAACTAATAACATTTTCAATTTATATATAAGAAAAATAAATAACTTTTTAATTAGAGTAGGATCTTGAACATAATAATAATAATAATAATAATAATAATAATAATACGTTGCAGCTAAATATAAAATTGTAGCTATTGCTTGTTTGTTTTATACACATACGATAATCAATACATTATATCAATAAAGTATGCAGACAGTAAGCTGCAAAAACAATTACAATATTTTGGAAAGAGTATTTTGCGGCTCCATTTTGAGTAATAGTTTCGTTTAACCATTGTAAATAAAAATCCACACGAGAATAAACACCCGCTGTATTCGGACGAGCACATCCTGCACCCCAAGAGACAATACCGACTTGCGTTCCATTGCATAACAATGGTCCACCGCTGTCACCCTGAAAATTCAAAATGTTGCAGCAGAATCTGGATGCAAAAAGTAAAACTTCCGTTTAGTGTAAAAATGATTTATTAAAAGAAATGTGGGCTATTAATGTGGATCTCAATTAAATTAGAATAAAATTTTCTTATAATTAATATCATTTTTTGCAAAAGGTTTTTAACTTATTCTTAGATAAGTATCGAAATTGTAAAACAATTGCCGTCATGATTTTTTAAATTGATGCAACGTTTTTACAATTAACGTTTATCTACAATATTATGAGGTATAGCAAAGTTTTTCCGTATGATTTTTAATGTCAAAGTTTTGATTTTTATTATCAAGCTTAACATGATTAAAAATTCATAGTAATGAGTTTATATCTTAAATTAATTCTTAAGGTGTATTCTTTTATTTTAAATAAATAAGAAAGCTTGTAGATAGCTGTAATTTTCCTGGAACATGATTAAATATAAATTTTATCAATGTTCTATATTGGTCTCTCTAATAAGTAGGTAATGTAAGTCTAGGAATTTTTAACTAAACATTACAGAGCGTTATTTTCCATTAAAAATCTTTATATAATCATCATATAATATATCATTTTAAAATAATTTTAAAAAGTCCTTAAAAATACCCATAAAATAAAGAAAAAGTGCTCATAGCAAATATTCACGAGGACAAAATCAACACAAGAGTATTGTTAGAAGAATCGTATTCATGAAAAGAAATCTGAATTAATCTGATAATATCTCAAAACATTCAGAATTTTCTATAAACTCAAGCTATTTAAACTTCATAAGAAGCTCAAATAGACTTGAAGAAATTAGATTTTGTAAAAATAAGGAGAGAAAACCACTTTGCTATCACATTTAAATAGTTACACATCAGACTTGAATATAACTAAAAACAAAAAATGAAATAAAGACCCACATTACTTCTTTTTTCTTATTCCTTTAATTATTACTTTTTTCCAAAGAGATAAGGCTTGATAAGGATGTTGTTGTTTAATTATTTCCAAGAAAGGATGTCCCACCTAATTCGAGCATCTGAAATATCTCGCTTATTTTTGATGATATGAAAAAATGTTTCAGATGAAAGTAGAATGGTTTCAAGAGGGATGTATTTTGATCATGTTGTCTTTCTTCTAGGCAGAGCCGTCAAAAAGATATAAAGATTATCTCTACTTTTTTAAGCGGAATTGTATGATTTTTTTTACATAATAAGGTTCCTCTAATTATTCTGCACATAAAAATATTAAGGTAGTGACATATAAAAACCAATAGTTTACGAGATATTTTATACTTTATTCAGTCACATGTTGACATAAAATATTAAATATCTCGTGAATTGTTAATTTTTTGATACTTTTATGAATAGTACTTTAATACTTTTATGAATAGAATAATAAGGTGAATCAATTGGTGAAACAAAAACACATATTTGCTTATTTAAAAAAATTATATATTTTGCATACAGATTTTTTTAAAGCAATTATGTGTTTTCATTCCATCAATTGATTCATCTCATTATTCTGTTTATAAAAGCATTAAGGTACAATTATAAAAAAATTAACAGTTTACGAGATATTTAATATTCTATGCTAACATGTGACAGAATAAAGTATAAAATATCTGGTAAACTTTTTGACGCTTCCACCTAGAAGAAAAACAACTTGACCGAAATACGTTCCTTCTTGAAACCATTCCACTTTCATCTGAAACATTTTTTCGTATCATCAAAAATAAGCGAGTTATTTCAGATGCTCGAATTAAGTGGAACACCCTGTATATTAAATATATATATGTGTGTGTGTATAGATATACAAAATTTAATGCAAACCTGACAGGCGTCGCGACCACCTTCCAATACACCCGCACATAATTGCCTTTTTTCGTGCACATTCGGCATAGGACATTTGTCATGTGAGATTAATGGAAGTTGAACGTGTCGCAAATATGTACCGCTTTCTCGCTAACAATGAGCCACGAGAAAATTAAAGAAATATATTATTCATTGGTCAACTACAACTTTATGTATTTCTTCTTGAATTTTATTAAATTGTGCCCCCCCCCACACACACACACACACACACACACACACACACACACACACACACACAC